AAGAGTGATTTACTCGGGAAAACAAAGACCCATCCCAAATCAGAGGGTAAAAGAAACAAACATATTTCACACAATTTCTTTTCATTACAAAGAAACCAATTTGTTCCCTTCAAAAACTTCAATAACTGGCATTACTTGTAATGGCAACACAATGAGCCCAGCCTGCTGCTGCTTTTACTATAGAACCTTCTGTTGGAAGAAGGAAAGGCTCAGGAGTTTCCTAGAAAAGTAAATTATGATAAGGAAATACGACTTTAATTATGTAAAGAAATAAAGATAAAAACAACCAATGAATATGGAGCAGCACAGAGCGCTATACTACCCCATGCTTCCCTGATGTCACATAGCTTTGACCTAAATCATCTGTTGAACCCCATGTGATGAGCTTCCCCGAGTCTGATTGAAAGAGAAGAATAATTTGTGTTTCTCATATCAATTTTATTCCTTGAACAGGAAAATTGCACATCACAAATCCAAGGAAAACATTTTCAACAAAGCAGAAATGCAAAACCTTATCTCCAACATAGCAAAACTTCAATTTAGTGGCACACAGTTAAATCAAAAAGTCTAAAAAAATAAAAATAAAAAAAGAAATCACCAAGTAAATCAACCCCCAGCACAAAATCGCAATCACATTAGCTTGAGAAATTGCAAATGACGCAAAAAAAATATAATCTTTAAATGAAAAATGGAAAAAAAAGGAGAACGAAAAACGCACCAGAAACAGCCATGGCGAATCCGCAACCGCCACTGCAAACGTCGTTCCACGAGCCACAAACATTAGCCGGAATCTGCACTACCACTGGAGATAAAATCGGCGACCGTTGTGGCAACGCCCCCGGAAGGTACCCACACATGAGCACTACCCTTTTCTTGGACACCTCCGCCGCCATTTTAACGCCGTCGCTTCCTTGTCCCTCTCCATTCATCTCTATCAAAGAGAAAGAAAAGCGGGAACACATGAAATTACAAGAAATGAGATTTTCTGAGATTCGAAGTTCTTGAATTCAATTTTAGTTCTCAGGTTTGAGGTGAGTGGACTGGTTGGATTCTGTGGGGGAGTGAGGAGCCCTAATTTGGGCGAATAAGAAAGGAGGCGGATCATTTTCAGGGGAGGGGGGTTGCCATGTTGGAAGGGTCACATTGGTGTTGGTTACACGTGGAAGGACAACGGCCGCGAGATCCGTCGGCGAATTCTGGCCAGGAGTTCCGAGTGACACTCCCACTAAAAAAGGTAAGGACCGTACGAGTGGGTCGTTGCCTCTTATAGGGTCCAATCATTATGCATTTGCCGAGAGTGTCCTGACTGACACGTCAACCATGGGACCTTTTCAACATAAATTTATAATTTTAATCCTTTATTATAGGAT